TTTAATAAAACCTTGTTTATCGTTATGATTTTATGTTTTATTTATTTTGTTTTCGTCAAGATTTTTTTTTTTTTGGTTTAATATTCATCGTTATTTAAATTATTGTATGTCTTTTATTAAAATGACAATAATTAAATTTTCTGAAAAAAGCAATGATGTTGAATACAATAACAATAATAAAGGTGAGATCAATTAAATCGAAAGGGTAGGGTTGCATATTTTTAGTATTTTTTGTCCAACAGCTGGATCGCAATTATCAAGGATCTGCAATCAAGAGAGGTAATGTCAACTAAATTTGTCTATAGTTTCTTTTCTAGTCGTTTCGATAAAGGACGTCTTTTCTGACATTATATCCATCAGATCTTGTTAAGCTTAATAGAAAAGAACATCTTTATTATCAATTCAGCATTGCACTAGCTTTGTACAATGCATTCCACAATCCCTAATGAGGTTTTGCAACAATCGCAAATACGTTTTTTGGCCTTCTTATGTAATAAGAACATTTCATTTTAAATGTTTTCAATTTACAAAATTATTTGCAATCGATTTACCAAATTTTGGAAGTAGTACCATTTTCTGTAAAGCGGAAAGAAAAATGTAAACATAAACACAATCAGATGATAAAGCTCTAACTTTACTATATACCCACATACGTTTAGCAGGGTTGCCTCCGAATTTTAAATTTCATACAGTCTCGACTAATTAATAGAAACTGTATTTTGTATATGTTCTCAACTCACTAGTTTAAGGGGCAATTGCGAAATTAAAATCAAAAAACTAGTAAATGTATATTTTAAGAATACACAGTAAAACTTTTAAAGAAAAAATTAAACATTTTTTGGGTTACATTTTACCGAAAATTGAATTTTATACAATACAAAATTTTGTCCGTTTTTGTCCTGCCAAACTTCGAATTTTGATCAGATTAAAAAACTAGTAGGTGGTGATTTCGTGGAGAATTATATATAAACGAAACATGCAAGAGAAATTTAATAGTGAATGAAAAACTGATGGACCTGATTGAACTGCACTTTACAAGGCTATAACGCAAAAATGATTTGAGATATCGTTCTTTTTAATGGTTTAACCTACCGAAATACCGTAAAGTAATAATTCGTAAAATATTTATTGAATATGCGTAAAAAGTAATGAAGAAATATGTGCTATTTTTTTGCACTTAGCTGCTAAGACGACCTTTCCTCGCCAAAAATCGGTCTAAATGTTGGATTCCATTGACCATGTACCACTTGCCCTCACAAAAAGTAGTCTAATGGAGTCAAATAATGATTGAGAGTTCTCTTTTTTATCGTGATATAATTCTTCTATGAAATATTCTTAACAGAAACAAAAGCCCACCCGCTATAAAGCTTGACCAAAGCAGTTTCTGTTTCTAATGTTCATTATGGCAAATGTCCATCTATACCAGGTTTTACTTCTTAAAAAGATATCATAAAAACTATGTAGCTTATATCTAAAAACTAAATGAAATTTTTTTAGATTTTTACAAACGAAATTCTGGAACCATCCTGGGACTAATTAATTCTGGTCAGGGTATTAATTTCAAATCCAAACCTCATTACAATCCCTTCTGAATTTGTTTCTGATATGAAAAATAGTTTTATTAAATTCATCAACCCCGAAAAAAGTTTAATAGTTGTAAGATACTAGAATTGTGTGAAAACAACATCGGAAAATTACTTCAAACCATCAACTAGCGAAATTCGATTTTTACAAGAAGCTTTTCTATAAATTAAGAATTTCAATATTTTTTTATAATTCATTGCGATTAAATACAAATAGGTACATACATCTTCAGAAAGCCTGAAGCGATATTATAAAGTACAGCGTAGCTTTTTACCTAAAATATAAATGGCTTGTAGGTCAACAGAACAGATGTTGAAGCTTAGTCAAAATAAAAATAGTCTATCAATCACTAATCTAATAGATTTTATCCATGTCTTGGCATTTCTTACAAAAAATAAAACAATCGCTATATCATGATCACCTTTTGTATAATACCGGATATTATTTGACCGGGATTTAAACTTATCATCATTTAGTATTCATGCACTCGCCTGTAACTACTCCGTTCTTATATTGGCATACTCTTTCATTACAATTATTTTACATTACCAACAACGATTGGAATACTCTCTTAGATTTTTAACAAATACTTCTTTAAAACTACAAAAAACAAGTAAGGAAATTCTAAGTTCGGGTGTAACCGAACATTTTATACTCTCGCAACTTGCAAGGATCAAAGCCCGGGAAACTACTTCAGATGTTGGCAAAATTTTATATTAAAGATGTATTGATTTATCCGATTCATCCAATTTTTAACACCAAAACATACTATTATTAAGAGTTTGATTTATTTATTTTATTATATGAGTTTCAATTATATACTTGTATCTTACACATTGACCGATATTTTCGGTAAAAAAACAACTATAGGTACTGGGGTCTACATATTCAGTACCTAGGGGCTTGAACACTTTTGGTTTGATTTAGACAATCTTTAAACGCATTACTCACGCAAAGTTTTACCCCGATACAATCATTGTTGCTTGTTTTGCATAGCGGAAAGGGAAAGAATCAGATGGAATTTAAAATGGTAATAATCCGATAAATGGTTGTAATCCGATAACATAGAAATATAAGGAGAATGTTATATATCAAATTTGTTTTAAATCAGTTAAGCGTATCCCAAGATATGGCTTTTTACCTAAAAGTGGGCGGTGCCACGCCCACTGTCTAATTTTTAACGCGGTTAAAATTTAATGTCTCTGGCGTACTTAGTGCTTGATTTATCGCGCTATTGTTAGCTTTTAACAGTACCGTTATATGGAAAGTGGTCGGAGTTGTCCCCCGATTTAACCCATATTCACATTTTCGATATAAGTGCTAAAAACATTTGTTCTCAGTGAGTAGTGTTATTATAGCTCTAGCGGTTTAGGAGATATGCACATCAAATATTTTAGGGGGCTGAACCACGCCCACTTTAAATAAAAAATTTAAACTGCGCACACACACTGAACTGTACACAGGATCACAAACCAAATAACAGTTTTGCATCTTATTGTGTAGCTTAGTTATGGCAATTTATTGGTTTTTGATCAATGGCGTTTTGTGGGTGTGGCAGTGGTCCGATTACGCCCATCTTCGACGCCAACCGTCTTACGGTACCAAGAAACATGTGTACCAAGTTTCATACAGATATCTTAATTTTTACTCAAGTTACAGCTTTAACAGAAGGACGGACAGACAGTCACCCGGATTTCAACTCGTCTCTTCATCCTGATCATTTAAATATAATATACCTATATAACCCTATATCTAACTCGATTAGTTTTACAAGGTGCGTTCCAAAGTAAACAGTAAAAAAGTAACAAAGTAAACTCTAGTGGCGCCATCTATATGTCGACTAGTGCGTTAGAATTTGCTATCCTTTATCGACTTGACCCGACCAAAACGTTAATGCGGTATTCTACCTTGGAGTTTTGAAGCGTTTAGTACGCCGTATTCGACGTGTTCGACCCGAATATCGCGAAGATGGAAGTTGGCGTTTGTTGCACGACAATGCGCCGTCTCATCGATCGACGCTTGTGGCCGATTATTTGACCAAAAATCACATTTAGACAGTCAACCGCTCCCCGTATTCACCTGATATGGCACCGTGTGACTTCTACCTTTTCGGAGAAATGCATTTATCGATGAAAAAAAGCGTTATGCAGACGTGGAGGCCATTCAAAAGGCTTGCACCGTTCCGTTCCGTTCGACATGCTTTTGGACCATACAAAAAGCAGTATTAAAGCAGAAGGAGACTATTTTGAATAAAATTAATTGATTTTGCCGATAAAACCATTTGTTCTGTCTTTTTTTTAAAGTCCTGTTTACTTTGGAACGCACCTTGTAGGTGATAAAAACAACCATTAGGTGAACAAAACTATGATACTCTATAGCAACACGTTGCGAAAGTATAAAAAAAGTATACTTCTATATGTTACAGTAGCTATCGATCAAATCAAACTCTAGACAATGGATTTAATGAACTCTTTACTAAAACGCCTATCTAACGAATAGTTCAAAGGCAAACAATGCGGCTTAAAATCACAATATTTGTAATAAATTGAACATTTGATACCTCACTATAAAATTGACACCGGTAGACAGCTTTTGTTCCTTTTGTTTTAAATACGTTTGAAGTATTATTTGAATTAATCGTAAATGTGAATGAAAGCGAGCATTCTCAAATTCTGGATCACAACAAAATCGCCAAATTGATATGTATGGTAGGTCCGTTATCACTTTCAAAGCAAATTTCATTTGCTTGCAGGTCAAGTTCATTCAATATGCCAAACGTTTGCTTCGATGATAAGTTCAATCAAAAAATTTGTCAACATACATACACATGTACAGTGCCAACCCGCTTAAGTGAACATACAACTTTTGGGTCAATTGGACCCATATCATTGTCTTTGGGTTAAAAACTGGGTCTCTATTCAATAATTTATATGATATAATATATTAATATGTATAATTTTATAAAAATTTATTTATAAATATCATAGAACTTTATATATAAATATTTATAAATATTGTTCCATTTGAAGTTTTCAAATATTTATTCGACCTTTTTCTTCCTTAATACTTTTCATAACATCAAAAACACCACTGAGAAGCAACGATTGGTTTACTAAATAAGATTCCATTTTAACCCCTAAACCTCAACAACGCTCACTTAACGTTGGTTTTTTATTCAAAAACGGATATAATATAATTTATAATATTATATAATCCACACTCGGAAAAGTGTGGTATCTTCATGATTTCAAATTTAAACAACTTACATATGTACAATTTCGACTGACTGCGGATTATCAGAAAGAACATTTATTAAACGATATTTCACTGTAAAATGTATATATATAATATTTTATATATGTAGGTATATGTACAAGTATAACATGAGAACAATGTCTGACGATTAGGTACGAGTATTTAATGCGCTTGAGACTTAGGGACGCAAACTGCAAATAATACCGAGCGCAAGTGCTTTGCGATTGATCTGAACCATTAATTTTTCGACAAGCGTATGCTCAGTGTGAAAGCGACTCCACGCACAGACGGAGCGTAGTATTTTAAGTCAGTGTTTAGCAGTTTTGGGGTGCCGAATAAATTATTGCAAGTGCTAAAGTGTTTATTTATTTATGTAATAATATCAATAGGTATATGCGCTTAAGCAATACATATACATACTATATATGTATAAGCAAGATGAAAGTAAAGTGCACAAGTATATCTTCGACTGAGATCACAATGAAAGTGAAAACATTGTGGCATTCATTTTTACCCATCCTGCTACTACTGCTAAACGTACTCGCAACGAGCACTGCAAAGCCCGCGAACACAGCTGCCAGCGAAGTCATAGCCTCCAACACCACCGCAGCAAACGACAGTTCACAGCATCCAACCGCAGAACTCATTCTAAGTGCCGATAATGGCACAGCAGCGGTGACAAAAGCGTCTGCAGCGAATGCAGCGGATAATGGACTGAACGAAATCGTAAGCGAATATCGCGCCGAATATGCTAACAAAATGCTCACGTATATGAATCTATCCGTTGAACCGTGCGATGATTTCTACGAATATGCCTGTGGCAATTGGAAGAATGTGATGGTCGAACATCAGTCGAAACATAAACGTAGCAATCTGATTGATATTTTATATAGTTTAGGCGAAGCCATACAACAATTACTCTTGGATGAAAAACAACCGAAAGATGATTTCGCTTATAAATCGGAATTAAATTTGACAAAGCGTATTTATAAAGATTGTCTAGCGGCTGATTTGTATCCGTTGAAAAAGTCCGAAGTATACTTGGAGGTTATCAAGTCGATCGGTGGCTTTCCTGCAGTCGATCCCACATGGAAACCGGATAATTTCAGTTGGTTCAATATGAGTGCACACCTAACTAATTATGGTGGTATCGGCTTGATTAAAGAGGAAATATTGCCACAATACCCATTCCCGCCATATTTCAAACTACCCGATTTGGGCTTTGAATACATCGTGCACTCCGACAATATACACACAAATAGTTCCCAAGAGTTAAATGAAAAACGCATGCGTAATTATCTGCGCTTATATGGTGTTGATGATGAGCAGAAAATCGATCAGATCATTGCCGATATAGTCAACGTTTGGTCAGCAATACTCAATATTACCAACAAGTTTGATGAGGATCTGGCAAAATGTGAAGTACTCTCAGCAGTAGTTATGGGAGAAGAAACATTTCCGCTATGGGACAGTTATTTGGAAATAGCTTGGAATGGCACAAAATTCGATCTGGATGATGACGACACTTGGCCATGCAATTACTTTTACAATGCGCTGGATAAAATCTGCAATAAAAATAAAGAGGCGATAGCTAATTATTTTGCTTTGAAATTTATCTATTACATGGATGCACGTTTGCAAGATAAGAAATTTCAAACGGAGCATTGCAACATGATGATTCAGTTTGTATTGCCGCATCTGCTGGATGAAATCTATATGGAGGTAAGGAAGAATGATACAAGAACATAATATATTTATTAATTTGTGCACGATTACAAAGCTTATAAAATATATTGGGCTAGGTCAGGGAAGGCTGGGTCGAAAGAAATGGACGACTGTATGCAAATTTTTTAAATGCTACATACTAAACATCGAGTTTTTTCTATCTGTGATAAAATACAGTTACAGTTAAATGTTGTATTCCCCAAAGAATGTTTAGACAATGAGACTGGTTTTACAAGGTAAATTACTATTGAATTGGATGAGAAGTTCTAAAGAGTGGATCATATGAGGGTTTATTTCATCAAAAGTGTTTTTACCCGTCAGATCCATATTTTTGCGTTGATTTTGGAATTCAACAGTCTCGCCTAAAGGAGCAACGATTTTATGCCTTTAGGCTATTTTTTGGTATAGCAAGGACCGATTTTATATGGTTCCTTAACGATTTGCGCTGTTAACCCGGGTAGCAAGCCGTAGTTTGGGAAGTAGAGTCGGTTCAAGTTCTTGGAAAACAAGGATAAGTGTAGGAAAATACAAAACACGGCTTTTTATGCAGTGTATTCGATTCCTGCGGATAAAATTAAATACTTAATTTATTTACACTGTACAACACTTGGCTAGGTATTGGACGAAACCGATTTTTTTCGAGAATTCAGTCATAAGTAAAAAAGTTATGTCTTCGAAATTGAAGTTATTAAAAAGATTATTATTAATTAAAATATGTAAACTCGTAAAATATTAAAAATATGGCTATTATCATCGTTTTCCTCTTATTACAATGGTGTATAACATATTTCGGGCAAGCTTATAAAACAAATGCCATAAATGGTCAAAATCCGACGAGTACTTTTGAATTAGAGAAATTGTTTATTTCGAAGATCCAACTTTGATCCTTTATTGCAACTGTCACATCAATTTGAACGGAAAATATTACACGCTTTTGAAATGAAGGAACAATATAATATGATTAATAGTAATGATTTTCAATGAGTTTTTTTTAAAGCTTCGAAGGCAGGTGCTTTGAATTTGGAGGCTATCTTTGAAAAATGAAATAATTATCTTTTTACTTATTATTTACATGTTAAGGCTTGTATCCCTCGAAAAATAGTTGTTTGGTCCCATGCCAAGAAAAAGAGACGGGTTTCTTTGTGATTATAATACTAAGTATATCTTAATGTTTGATAATATTATACATGCATTAATTTTTTTAGGAATACTTTGACAATGAAATCCGTGGCGAAATTAGCGATATCGTCAAAGAGGTGCGCAAGAGTTTGCGTGAAATATTAGAGCAAGCCGAGTGGTTGGATGAGAAAACGCGAGAGCAAGCGCTGCTTAAGGAGGCAGCTATCAAGCCATACATTGGAAGTTACAAGAATAAGAATGTAACAGACCGTTTGATAAAAGAAATGAATGAGTTTAACTATGTGGAAGGCAACTACGAACTAAATTTAGTGAACTTATTCAAATTCAGAACAATGCAGCGACGCTTCAACGGACTACATCACAAAGAATATGACAACTACACAATGAAACCGTTAGAGCTGTTGAAGGGAATCCAAGTGAATTCCTTTTACTACAATGTCGATAATTCTATTTATGTAATGGCTGGCATTTTGCATCCACCCGCTTATCATAAGGCGTGGCCAGCAGCGCTGAAATTCGGTACCATTGGCTATTTGGTGGGACACGAATTCACACATGGCTTCGATTCGGTAGGCGCGCATTACAATAGTGTTGGCGAAGAGAACTACTGGTGGTCGGCGAAGGCTGGCAAGGTGTTCAACGAGCGCGAAGAGTGCTTTGTTAATCAGTACAATGCATTTGAGGTATTTATATACATATATTCTTTAAAATCATACCGGTAAATCATTTCGGTAATCCACTTACAGATATCTGAAATTAAACGTTTTGTGGATGGTAATCAGACCAAGGACGAAAATATTGCCGATAGTGGTGGCTTGCGAGAGGCATTATCTGCATATTACAGGCATGCGAAGGAATTGAATTTATCGCCAAAGGACGAAAAGATGCCCGGACTGGATCTAACGCCCGAACAGCTGTACTTTATGGGCTTCGCACAACTCTGGTGTGCTTCCTATAAGGAGCGGCACTATTGGGAGGAGCTAAAGAATGAGCATACAGTGGATAAATTTCGTGTTTTGGGCGCCGTAACGAATATTGAAGATTTCAGCAAAGCTTACAACTGTCGTGTTGGCAGTAAAATGAATCCAGCTAAGAGCAAATGCCGCGTGTGGTAGCCCTTGATTTAATACTTAGAGCACATGGAATTAATTTAAACTTTAAATATTAAACTAAAAAACTACTTATGTATATGTTTTAATACATGTACATGTGTTTATGTATGCATATAATTCTAAAACTTTCACAACTTTGGGAATTTAAAAAAAATATGTTTAAAAACCGGACAAAGGAGTAAATGCTTATGTGAACGACCGTTAACGCAAATAAACGAACGAACGCTATTGACTTTATATTGAATGTGTCATCAATCTGGTTTTAATAATTAAGCTGCCGATCTTAGAATTTAGTCGGCTACTGGAATTCGTATATATTATTTAAATATGTGCATGTTAGTGGTGTAGATACATATCTAGACTTATTTTTATATAAATAATGAAGTAAGCAAATGTTAGCAAATATTAGCAGCAAAACAACAAAAGTATCCATATTTGAGTTTAATTGTGATGGGTCATAACCCCAGTTCACAGACATGCTTTTTGTTTTTAAATATTTGTGGAATAATACATTCTCATTACGAGGAGATGTGCTAATAGTATCTTACACATTCATACTTATATACAGAGAATAATAAAAGGTCTGTTTACTTTTCAGACGATGATAAAAAACAAGAAAAATACCCTTCACAAAAACAAAGGCCCCTTACAAGAACTTGATTCCGAACGTTCAATTTGTATGGCAGCTATATGATATAGTGATCTGATCTGACCAATTTCTGTGGAGAATAATTTGTTGCCTTAAGCAATAACTCGTGCCTAATTTCGTAAAGATACCTCGTCAAATAAAAAAATGTTCCATGCAAGCACTTTACTCCGATCGTTCAGTTAATATGGCAGCTATATGCTATAGTCATCAGATCTGAATAATTTCTTCGGAGATTACATTGTGGCCTTAACTAATAATCCGTGCCAAATTTCGTGAAGATACCTCGTCAAATGAAAGAGTTTCCATACAAGCACTTCATTCCGATTGTTCAGTTTGTATGGCAGCTATATGCTATAGTGGTCCGATATCAGCCGTTCCGACAAATGAGCAGCTTCTTGGGGAGAAAAAGAAGTGTTCAAAATTTCAGATCGATATCTCAAAAACTGAGGGAATAGTTCGCGTATATACAGACGGACAGACGGACGGACGGACAGACAGACGGACATGGCTAAATCAACTCAGCTCGTCACGGTGATCATTTATATATATACTTAATATGGTCTCCGACGTTTACTTCTGGGTGTTACAAACTTCGTGGCAAAATTAATATACCCTGTTCAGGGTATAACTAGTTAAAGTACTTTGTCGCTCAAGCGTAAGAGAAATGCATTTTTTTGCAACAATCGCAGCTCCGGCCTATTTACAGCGACTCGCTACGCCATAAATGAATCGAACTGTCATAGTGACTTCCACCCCTTTCGTTCTTAGTGTTAAACATACTACATAAAGAGCAAAAGGACGAAACTGTCGTAAGCTCTATTCTTCTATTTTTGGCTCCAGTAGAAAGTGTCAACATGTTACGCTTTCTATGACTTATATATGTTTCTTAATATTTCTTACATATTACATTCATTGCTGAGATCGTTGGATTGGTAAACTTTGTTTCATATCAAATACCGACATGAAAAAAACTATTTAAAGTTGGAAATAAATATCGATATTTTAAATTAATTCATATACCGCTGAATTCAAACATATCTTAGTCGAGTTTTAATAGAAAAAAAAACGATTTTATGTATTGAAAATTTCATTACAATAGGGAGAAATAGGGATAAGACAGCGTTTTCTCAATGATGTTCATGCATTTTTTATAGTATAAGAAATTGTTATAATTTAATGATCCATAATATTAAAACGTATCGAAATTTTTATTCTAAAATTTGGGAACATATTTGTCAAGAGTCTTACTAACAACATGTGGAATAGAAAAGCTATATATTTTTAATTTAACTAGACCGCGTAGAACATGTGATTGTAGGGAAATCTTTAAAGAAAACTAATACATGAAATGTTTTCATGTTTTAAGGATACATTTATATATATACATACTTATACTATTGCTATTTATATTATTTATAAAAAACATGAAATATCCAACGTCCGAATATCCGTCCTCCAACGTGGTTGAAAGCAAAACAAAAAAGGATTATTATTAATGTGTAAAGTGTTGCCTATCTAATGACATGCGATTGTTAAAAAAATTTAAATTAAAAATAAACACTTTTTGCTCAAAAATTAGATAATTTTTGGTTCGCCCAAATTACATATTTCATACAAACGAAAAAAATCGGAGCAATTAGATTATTTGTTTTCGTGTTAGAACTTCAAATATAGTAGATACATTTAAAGGTAGTATATACATTTAAAGTTAAACTTAATAAGCTGTTAGACTGTTGCTAGCTACACTTTAAAAACTGTAATTAAAAAAAAACATTTGAAATAGTCATTTAAAGTGTTAATATGTTTTTTAAGCTATATGTTAAAAAACAAATAATTTTTTTATTTATTTCGAAATCTCACACAAGGTGTGCCCTTTAATCTAAAACAAATTAAAATACAAAATGCGCGTTACATCACATATATATATTTTTTATGCGATTCATAGCGTTGCATGCACTTGCGATGAGCAAAAAAATACATATACATAATTACTGAGTCTTCAATTCCAAGCAGATATTAAATAAAACTGAACTTACGGTACAAACTTTACGAAGCGTTCAAAATATTTAAGGCACACTAATCCGTTCTTCAATTCAGGGAATCTTTAAAATGTATATACCATATTCGTATAACTTAAAACCATATTTCAACCAAACTACAAAACAATTCGAAGTGTGAAAAATATTCCATTAGATTGAAAATATTTTAAAGCACTTGCTGGGAACAAACAAGCTTTGAAACCAATAAAGAGAAACAGTACTGCCTTCAGCTCGTTTTAATACTTTTATATGATTATTATAGATTTTTTAAAAAGATTCACCTTCTTTCCGGATTGTGTTGAAATCCTTCTTAAGTGGCAGCCTTTAATCGACAAATTATTAAATATTCTGTAACATCACAAGCAAAAGCACTAACACAAACTTTCTACATTGCCTGCGCAGAGCGCTTACACACAATGCATGAGCGTGGAGATTGCTCTAGCAATATAATTAAATAATATAATATAATAAACAACAAGCCATGCATATACATTTTCACTATCTATGGATACGCTACAATTAAATGACGGCGGAAACTGGAGATAAGTACAAAACACCACAGAGTTGCATTTATATCACAAAAGAATTTTAAAGTTTAGTTGTAACATCACATAATATAAATGAGTATATTTACAATCATAAAAGATAGTAATAAGTATATGAAAATATATCCGATATTTAAGAAGAAACTGATAAGTTTTTATTTTGATAAAGTAGTAATATTGCAAATTACATATGTGCGATTATTTCTTTTTCCTGTATGTATATAATATTAATATAGCATAATATTTCTCTGAAAATTATTTACTTATCATTTCTACCTATATTTATTTTCAATGTTATACATAATTCTAGTGGATTTTTCCTTTAAATAAAAATATTTTGTATTAACAAAATATTTTTTGTATGCAGCATTTTAATTTCGTTATACTTGCATCTCTGTGTGCCTTAGTAGATACAATTATATTCTCGACATTTTGGAAACTTTGCATATCCCAGTTTCCGGCGCCATTTCAAACGTCGCGTATTAGTTTCCGATTCGCTTGTGAAAAATGCTAAATGTTTGGTGTTAAAAGTGAGAAAATTTAGTGTTGAGTGATTTCGGTATCTAATGTGCAAAATATTTGGTCGATTACCTGTTTTACTAATAAATTATCCACAAGTGTCTGGAATGCAGTTTCTATGCGGTTTGTGCTAGTGCTTGCAGCCGTGTCAATGTGTTACCAGAGAATGTTAATAAATAGAGAAGGCGCAAATGTTAAGAAGTACTACAAATAAATTGAGCTTTTCACAAAAGGGAGCATCGAAAAATACAACCAGAGCAGAGAATGTTAATGAATGAATATTTATCAACATTATCTTTGTGGTCAAAGTTACGACTACAGTTAAAGTTAATAATATGGTAATATTTGACAAATGCTGCCGGTTGCTTGTCGTTGTATATAAGCTCAGCGTTTAAGAACCGAACGACTCCGATGTATGTGCCAATGTCCAACTAGAAGCCAGCGAAATGAATTGACCAAGCATACGGAAAATATAAGAATGTCACTTCAAAAATGTTGATTCTTTAAAAGTCCTAGCCTGGCTTAAGTCCGTAAAAATATTAAAATTTTGCTATACTAATAATGTAATATTGCGTAATCTAAACTGTTTAGTTGAAAACACTGAAGATGATTTCAACATTCGATACAGTCATTAATATGGCTGACGTCCAGACAATAATAGTGAAAATTTGTCAACGGCGGATAGTTGAGTTACATATGGTTAATCTATTGACGTATAGACTGTATAAACAAGAATACGGACATCATAACATAACTTGATTATTTAAAAGTAGAGAATGTATATACAGTTATTTACAGTAAAATAGAATCAAAATTTTATTCACAACTAAGTGCAAAAAAAAGTGTTACCACAGCTCTTAGGAGGAAACAATTATTTTTTATAGTTAACAAAATTTATTTTAAACAATTCAAAAGCAAAAATAATTTTATATTAATTTCTGTATTTTCAATAGACAACTGTCAGGAACTTCAATTAACAATAAAATAGAAATATCAATCAATAGAATTATGTTGCAACACCTTTAGTTGCGAGTACGGCAGTGCACCTTTTTAGCATTGACTGAAGTCGGTACTGAATACTACGCCTCTTGGATTTTTTTTCATACTTACCCCTTAGTGGTTTTTTCAAAACAAAAAAACGTTTTTTTTTTAATTTTTTAAACATATGCATTAAAAAAAAAAAAAATTGTGAAACATTAAAATGAATTCCTTTATTTTTTCCGCTGCTGAAAGGAGTTCGATGCACAAGAAGGCCGCCAGTATGGAAAGAAGTTTGACGCGATTGAATTATGAACACCCCGGTGTTGGACCGACCGGGGTTATTTTTTTGAAGTGCGGCGAAAGCCGCCAGTGCGGAAAGGAGTTCGACGATCTTCAAAATTCGTCCATACCATCAGATCGCGGCGCAAAAGTAATTGTGACTGTTACATTTCTTCAATATTTTTTTTCACAAGAAAATGTTTGGGGACCTAAACTATACATTTACCTTATTTTAGATTCATCGGACCAAAGGATCTTATGCCACTTTTTTGCATTTACTTCACCGGTCCAATTGATATGCGCTAAAGCAAAAGCAATCCTATTGTTCGCTGTCTCTTTTGTCAATATTGGAACTTTCCAGGACATTGTTCCGAAGATAAGGTTCTCTAGGAGGCGCAACAGTTCTCGAAGAAATTTCAACATTCAATTCTCTTTGGGTAACTACAGAGGACATTTAATTGTCATCTTGAGACATCGTTTTTGTTGTTGTTGTAACGGTTATCTAGTCCCCGCTTGGATGATAAATGATAGTTTGGTTTTCGCCGAGTGATGTTTAAGACGTCGTTTTTCGTGGTCGTTCCCTCAATTTATAATTGTTTGGAGGTTTTAAAGCAGTAAACAAAAATTTTTGGGATCTTTTTATAATTTTTGCAATTTTTCTTTGGGTATAACGGTTTTTTGCTAAATTTTTATAGGCTGACTCATTTCTGGCTCATTTATACTACAAATAAAACTTAATTACAACAAAATAACAAGTTTTAACTACAGATTATATACTTACTATATAATTTTTTACTAAATATCGCCTATAATTTATATTTATATTCCTTGATTCAATTTTTTTTCGGCATGACAACAAAAGCACATTTTTGTTGTTTTGTAATTTGAACACAATGATAACAGAAAAAGTAACAGCGCTACCATCATGGTGTTTTAAGAGATAAACATTGTAAGAAACGATTACTAGCAAAACGAATCGGAAATTTATCAAATTTTACAAATAATAAAGATTGTTAATTTTTTCGGAACCATCTATTTGATTCTATTTTATTGCCAGTAACTGTATATATGCATGAATTTAGGGCACGCTCATTTGTTGTAATGAATTCCAGGTATGCAAAAAACATATGTGTGGTTATATCAGGTAAATTTTCAGAGAAGTGGAAACTGCGTGTGCTCGTAGGTAGGCAAATATTCTATTCTTTTTAATATCCTGCTTTGCATTCGGATGACAATTTTATGCCGTTTTAGTCCAATTTTATACTTTAAAACACGATGAGGTTCGTTCTGATCTTCGCGATTTGTACCACAACTTTCACAGCTGTTTCCAGTGCTGTAAATATTGAGGAATATTTGAAACAACATAAGCCAACGAATTGCAGTGATTTACGAGATCATATAGTTAGCTATCCGCCTTATAACTCATGGAAACGAAACTCTGCCACAATAACACGAGCCGAATTCGAAGTATTTGTAAAAGAAAAATTACGACATTACAAAGCACCTGTGCTAAAGAAATATGCACCATACACACCTTTGAGGAAGAAGTATGTTACAACAATAAAGCCTGACGTAACATTTACAATTAAAGTAATCAATAACACGCCTGATATTACGGATTTAACCACAGAGGCAACGCAATTTACAGAAACATCAACGATTAACTCAGAGACTACAGAAATTTCGGATACAACACCAGTATTGGAAAATTACGAAACCACTGAAGAAGATAACTTTCAGCCCACTGATGTGATTGAGTCAACAACGCAAGATTCTGTTAGTACTGTATCGGTTTCCACAGTTCAAACATCAACGGAAATATTTACAACTGAAGCCAAAATAGTTGACACTGCAACTAACAGCTTGTCAACAATAAAAAATGATTTAACGACATCAACAACATTGGATGATTCTACAACTGAGACGGCTGATTCTACTACAGTAAATAAACAGGACGAGTTAACGGAAAACGAATGTGAGGATAGAATTACAACAAATCAAAAACCCATTACTACCGATGCAACTATTTCCATAACTACAAGTATTTACGGAGTAAGGGAATCGAAGACAACATTGGTCGACTCTACAACTGGGGCGGCTGATTCAAATGTGGTAAATATACAGGACGGGTACACGGAAAATCGAATAGAAGAAAGAAGTACAACAAATCAAGACCCCATTACTACCGATGCAACTATTTCCACAATTTCAAGTATTTATGGCATGACGGAAACTGAATCAACGCCAACAGAGAAACCTGTTACCACAGAAAATACATCAATGACCGAAAATGACTACACAACGACTTCGGAAGAAAGCACAATAGAGAATGCTAATGAATCAACGACAGACTTGGACTCTACAACCACGAACTGGGCGCTTACTGCAAATGGAGCACCAACAATCAACACAGAAATCACCGAAAACATGTTTAACACTGAAATAAGAAGTTTTATAACAGAAAGTTCAACAATTACGTGGGATACTCAGGAGCATGTAAGTACGTTGTCTGATTTTGATAACACCACAGCTATGCAAGTTTCAGAATTTACGATAATTTGTTGTAATACCGATGAAACGACTACAGCAATGTTTGAAAGTGATGAAACTACAACAACAGTGAACACAGGATCTCCAATTTCAACAACCGAAAATAGCATTGAAACAATCACATTATCTGTTATATCGGAGAAACTTTCAGACAGTACAGAAACTAAGACCGATAGTATTTGGAGCACTGCTGAAACGACAGATCATATTGAAAATAATAGTAAAGGCATTGAGTTTGAGGACATTATAAAAACCACTGTCAGATACACTTACGATAGTGACGTGATGCCTTCATTAGATGAATTTTAATTTAATTTAAAAAAATAGTTTAATTTAATAATATTAAATAATAACGAAAAATGTATAATATACGCCCCTGTGCGTATTTAATGTCCGTTTTAATAAATTTAATTTCATTAATTAATAAAACGACTTGTCTAATAGAAAATTAAAAACGATATTCTTATTTATCGATTACACCAAATACTAAGTTCTCTAAAAAAAGCAACCCTGTCTTCTCAAATAATCAGCTGTAAATTTATGTGAATGTGTTATACTTTTACCCGCAATTATAAATTCTTAAATACAATTTAACTTCGACTGTTTATGTATATGTTTAATACCATAATTTAAGTATAAATAAAAAAGGTAAAAAATATGAGTGCAAACACGAATAAACAGAAGGGAAAGCGAAAGGTTTTGCCAAAGTTGAAAACAATTCTGGCAAATCCATTGCAGGAGAAATGGTGTGTAAATAGTTTCATATGTTTTAATGTGTTATTTAATTGGAATACAATTTCTTTTTCAGTCCTTCACTCGAAGATGAAAAATTACTAGCGCTTGTGAATTTACTAAAAGATGCCATCAGCAATAGTGGCCTGAAGCCTCAACCATTTGTGACATCGAGGCATATCCACTTAGGTTTGGAAAGCGGTCTGCGTGCCATTAATAATTCGAAATGTTCATGTGTTCTGATTTCGCGTAGTATTCAACCACGGATTTTGGTCAGATTAATAGCGCGCAATGTTGAAGCAAAAAATGCAACAGTTCCTGTTTTTGTGCAAAATCAGTTGGAGAATGTCACCAAAGATGTATTTGGTATTAAAGCATTGTGTGTGGTATTTCCAACAGTTGAGGAAATGAAAGAGACTAACATGGATAATTCAGTTATACAGTGGATTACAGCCCACAAGAAGCAACTACAGTCCGAAGCAGAAAAGAAAAAACCAAAACTTGCAAAGAGAAAATTACAAAAAGAGCTTCCAGCAATAGAAGTTTGTAAGGAGTCGCCTGTGGTTGAAGTCCAAAAACCAGAAATTCAAAATATCTCTAAAGACAATGATGGTTTCATTTCATTTATGGGAGGAAAGGACGTTAGTAAAGCTGACGCAGTAGAAGACGAAAAACATTTGGTTGCAGTTTTAAAAAAAGTAGCTGAAGGTATTGAAAAACACGCAACTACAGAGCAAGATGTCGAAATGAGACCTGTGGACGATACACAACAAATGGAGGAAAAACGTGTTGATACATTTAGCGATGCAGATGATTTTCTGCCACATGTTTATCAACCACTTACTGTACATAAAATACAACCAAACCCAAATAGAAAACCTAAAAAGAAAAAGCAAAAAAAGAATAAATAAAATAAAAACTAATTTTTGTCCGACTATTTTTAATTTAAGTATTTCGGATGGTAGCTTTCTCACTCAGCTGTTAATTTTAGGTTATGCTTTGCGCTTTATTTTCATAACATTGTGTCTTGGTTGGTTTTACAATAAAAAATGTTCAAATTAGGACACCTAAAAAATTTTAATAGAATAACTATCGTGCTTCATGCTGCGGCTGTTCCCTGGAGTACAACAATTCATCAAAAAACGACTGATATTGCCAACAAGTTATGTAGCAGTCAACAGCTACCGTTGTGTCGGCAAATTCATATAGGAGAGGTGTTGCAGAAGTACAATAAAAATTTCAGACAAGATGACGATAAAGATAGTGACGACGAGAGGACTACTGAATTTAAAGATGAACGCGATTCTAAAGTATTGAAGGCTAGTGTAAACTCCTTACGCGCGGACTTGCTACTGAAAGCGGGGTTGGGAATGGCTAGGAAGTAAATGTTTTCACCAAATAACAAATGATAGATTCTCAAGACTTTTATCTTTGCAGTAAAGTAGAGACTATTTTCTATGAAAGCAAAGTACGAGTGAATGGCAAAAAAATTAGCAAGAAAAGTGTGCAGGTATAATTTCACAAATGTATATGAGCATGTATTCTGTTGGGTTTCTAACGAATTTATCCCATGAACACAGCTCGATGTAGGAGATGAGATCGACGTGGTGCGTGGTTTTAGTCAGGCGAATTCAACGCATTTGGTGGTCTCCCGTGTAGTTGTTCTCGACGTCAATGAGCGTGATGAAGGATACAGCGTACAGTTGAGACGCTACAAGTCTTTACTAATAGAAAATTATTCTGGCCCCAATGCCTTCAAATCGTCCGAAAGTGCGCAACATTGATAATAATGTTATAAATTAAGTTACAATATTACACTAAGTAAATTAAAGGTTAGCAAACATATATACTGTGTTTATAAATAATTCTCAGTTCCTTTGTATTTTTAACTATAATTTACTATGTATAATATCAACGAATACAAAAATGCGAATGTGCTTAGCAAAATTATTTATGTTAATATTTATAATTAAATGAATATTTGAAATGTGAATCTGTAATACCATTTAAAGTATTGAAAATCTAAAAAGTGCCATTTTCTTAGTCCCTACTGCGAAGTCACGTCGTGACTATGGACAGAGAACATATATCATAGAGAAGGTTCAATTGCGGACCAGCGTGTGAATTGTCAAAACCTAACAAGATTTTATTAGTGAATTTCATCACATCTGGCTCTGAAGGAGAAATTTTAACAGTAGCGAGTGAACAGAGCTGAGCATTCAATGAAAATTATGCTCAGAGACTTGCTTTGATATTACAGCTGCAGTTAGCCTTTTGGCTTATATTCTTATACGCTTATATGCAAACATATTTATTGATATGAATATCATTTTGCGAATTTTTATGAATGCATGCAAAACTGATAAATTCTTTTAAATTATGGAATTTCGAAATAATATTTATAGTCAATTTGGGCATTTAATAATTTTATTTAGTTTTTACCTAATCTACATTCCTAATAAATATTTTGTATTATAATAATAGAGATTAAATTTATTACAATATATTTATATGTACATATTATATGTACATGTTTTATCATATTAATCTTATATAGTCATATGTATGTACTTATGTATTTGTTATCACTTATCAATACACTATATGTGCGAGCATTGATTTATATGTACACATAATTGATTTATAAGTACACATAAATGTATACATAAAATTTCCGAACAAATAATGCATACACAAACCAACATACATACATATGTATGTATATGCGTACACATGTAAATATGTCACCCCCAAAAACTACAAACATTGTTCTACAAAAACAACAATAATCAAAAGTCAATATGTCAGCCAAATAGGCGAAGCCCAAATTTATAGTAATTACACAACAACAACATTTTCATTCATGAACGCAGGCGTACTTTTAACAAGCAACCTCGCTTCATTCATAAAACAGATACCCTCACATCCCCCCGAGCACGCTTTTGCCAACAAGCGTCTTTTCACGACGATGGCAAAAGCTAAAAATCATAAATTGAACAAATTTCTGATATTCCCTCTAGAAGGGAAAAGTGACAACCCCGCAAATATGAGTATTAAAATATTTTAGAATAAAAGCGACAACATAGTATATTTGTCGATTTACAATTCAAGAAACCTTTTTAAAGAAAATATTCAATATTCCTCTGATTTATGTATACAGTAAACCCCGGTTAAGTATCACTCGTCCAATTCCTCTTATCTGCCTGTGTCTTAATTTTTTAAATAAAACGGTAATTTTTTTTTAAATACATAGAAAATTTTTTTTTGGTACCATTCGCTTAAGTACCCCAATCGCTTATGTACTACAAAGCACAAAAAATCTGCATCTTTGGTTTTGGTACTTAACCGGGATTGACTGTATTTGTCAAAAAATGTACGTAAATAGGTACGTAAATATTCGATTTTTTTATACACACATCTGCCCGTATATATGCACAAGACTTGTTGACCAGATGTGGTGAAATTCACTAATAAAATCTTGTTAGGTTTTGACAATTCACACGCCTGTCCGCAATTGAAACAAGTTGTTTTAAGTTCTCTGATTGAACCTTCTCTATGATATACGTTCTCTGCTATGGACTATGTGGAATATCCATATTTTCATGTACCATTAGTTTCCGCTTGATTATTTCAACGTATATGTGGTTAATAATTCATGCTCACCGTAAGGAATATGTTTACGCCTTTAGATTTAGGGTTGTTGGGTTCGACTAACATTTTGAAATGTGCTTTTAAAAATTAAAATACAACTCTGTAAACAGCCGGTGTTTTTTGCTTAAAATTTGGAAACTCGCAAAGAAAAGTAAATTTTACACATCGTGCGCTAAAAACAAGTATTTATTTTAAACAATATTTAAAACGGCGGGTTTGACTGAGTTGTAAGTAATAACACATTTTCAATTGCTATCAAAAATAGTGCTTTTAAGATTTTAAACCAAATTTTTCTGTTTAATATGACCAAGTGCTGTGCTAACGATTGATAAACGTTTACGAATAAACTTCACTCAAATAGTTGTTGCAGAAGTGTAAAATATCAAATTGGTGAAACGTAAATATGGATGCTGATTTATATGATGAGTTCGGCAATTATATTGGGCCCGAGTTGGACAGTGATGAAGATGATGATCACAGTATCTACGGTCAACAAGAACCCCAGGATGAACAAGATGTAAGTGCCTTAAGGTTTTAATTATCAAAATATTAATACAATAAATCAAATTAGGAAGATGCTATGGATGAGGAAGAGGAGCATCAAGATGACGAGGATAAAGAAGTGACAGCTGTTGTGTTGCATGAAGATAAACGTTACTATCCCACCGCTATCGAAGTGTATGGGCCCGATGTGGAAACTATTGTTCAGGAGGAAGATGCGCAACCACTCGATAAGCCACTCATTGAACCCATTAAGAAACTTAAATTTCAAATTAAAGAGCAAGAGCTTCCCGAAACCACATACAACATGGAATTCATGGCGGATTTGATGGACACACCGCCCTTGATAAGAAATGTCGCATTGGTGGGGCATCTACATCACGGCAAAACAACTTTTGTAGACTGTCTAATACGTCAGACGCATCCACAATTCGAACAAGCTGAAGAGCGCACACTACGCTACACTGATACACTATTTACCGAGCAGGAGCGCGGTTGTAGTATCAAAGCGACACCTGTGACTTTAGTTTTGCAAGATGTGAAGCAAAAAAGCTTTCTAATGAATGTCTTTGATACGCCCGGTCATGTAAATTTTTCGGATGAAGTCACGGCTGCCATGCGTATGTGCGATGGTGTTGTGTTGTTTGTGGATGCAGCCGAGGGTGTAATGTTAAACACTGAGCGCTTGTTGAAACATGCAGTACAGGAGAAAATGGCCATAACTGTTTGCATTAATAAGGTTAGTTTTGGGCATATGATATTGTTGCTTTTGTTAAATATTATATATTTTAGATTGATCGTTTAGTTTTAGAGTTGAAACTACCACCACAGGATGCATATTTCAAGCTTAAACATATTGTGGAAGAAATAAATGCGTTGTTGAGGTAGGCTCCTGAATATAATTGTTTGTGCATGTATACAGGGTTAATGTCTGTAATTCCAGCACGTATGGTAATAGCAACGACAATTTGCTAGTGTCACCAGCTTTGGGCAATGTCTGCTTCGCTAGTTCACTGTATGGTTTTTGTTTCACCTTGAAATCCTTTGCCAAGCTTTATGCGGATACTTATGATGGTGTTAATTACGTAGAATTCGCCAAGCGTTTGTGGGGTGATATGTACTTTCACAGCAAATCGTAAGTTTAAACTATATTCAAACTGATTTGGCCAAGCTAACAAATAAATTTTCTCTCACAGCCGAAAATTTACCAAAAAACCGCCGCACAATTCAGCACAGCGTAGTTTTGTCGAATTTATTTTGGAACCTATGTATAAGGTTATTGCTCAAGTCGTTGGCGATGTTGACACTACACTCTCCGATACCTTGGCTGAGCTGAATGTACGTATCACTAAGGAGGAAATGAAATCGAATATACGCCCACTTCTACGTCTAGTGTGCAATCGTTTTATGGGCGACTTCAATGGTTTTGTTGATATGTGCGTGGAGCACATTAGTTCGCCATTGGATAACGCTAAACGTAAGGTGGATCACATATACACTGGACCGAAAGAAGGCGAAATTTATAAAGACATGATGGAATGCAATCAAAATGGCACATTAATGGTGCATAGCGCTAAAATGTATCCCACTGACGACTGCACATTTTTCCAAGTTATGGCGCGTGTCATTTCCGGCACGTTACACGCCGGTCAGGAAGTGCGCGTGTTGGGTGAAAATTACACGCTTCAAGATGAAGAAGACTCCCGTGTTTTGCAAGTAGGTCGGCTGTGGGTATATGAAGCACGTTACAAAGTAGAGTTAAATCGTGTACCGGCTGGCAATTGGGTACTAATTGAGGGCATCGATCAGTGTATTGTTAAGACATCCACTATTGTGGACATAAATGCGCCTGAAGACTTGTACATTTTCCGACCGTTGAAATTCAATACACAGAGTATAATAAAAATCGCCGTGGAACCGGTAAATCCTTCGGAGTTGCCGAAAATGTTGGATGGCTTACGTAAAGCTAATAAATCCTATCCATTGCTATCGACACGTGTAGAGGAATCCGGTGAGCATGTCATTCTGGGCACTGGCGAACTTTACTTGGATTGTGTGATGCACGATTTGCGTAAAATGTATTCGGAAATCGACATCAAAGTTGCCGATCCTGTGGTAGCATTCTGCGAGACTGTGGTGGAGACAAGTTCGCTGAAATGTTTCGCAGAGACGCCAAATAAGAAGAACAAGATCACGATGATATCCGAGCCGCTGGAGAAAGGACTCGCTGAAGATATCGAAAATGAAGTCGTGTCAATTAATTGGAATAAAAAGCGACTCGGCGAGTTCTTCCAAGTCAATTATGATTGGGATTTACTGGCCGCACGTTCAATATGGGCGTTCGGACCAGATGCAACTGGACCAAATATTCTTGTCGATGATACACTGCCTTCCGAAGTCGATAAAAATTTGCTTACTTCGGTGAAGGACTCTATAGTACAAGGTTTCCAATGGGGTACGCGTGAGGGACCGCTTTGTGAGGAGCCCATACGCAATGTGAAATTTAAAATATTGGACGCTGTAATAGCTGGTGAAGCACTGCATCGTGGTGGTGGGCAGGTCATACCCACAGCACGTCGTGTTGCATACTCAGCTTTCCTCATGGCCACACCGCGTCTAATGGAGCCGTATTTGTTCGTAGAAGTACAAGCGCCAGCCGATTGCGTGTCGGCTGTGTACACAGTTTTAGCCAGAAGGAGGTTCGCTATTGAGTTAAAACTGGTTGTTTATTTAAAAATAATATTATATTTTGACTTTCAGAGGTCATGTAACACAAGACGCTCCAGTTTCTGGTTCCCCCCTCTACACAATCAAAGCATTTATACCAGCCATTGACTCGTTCGGTTTTGAGACCGATTTACGTACACATACACAGGGACAGGCCTTCTGCTTGTCCGTATTTCATCATTGGCAGATTGTACCAGGCGATCCGCTGGATAAGTCTATAGTGATAAGACCATTAGAACCGCAACAAGCTTCACATTTGGCGCGTGAATTTATGATTAAGACGAGACGTCGCAAAGGCTTGTCAGAAGATGTTTCCATCAACAAATTCTTCGATGATCCTATGTTGTTGGAATTGGCGCGGCAAGATGTGCTTCTCAATTATCCGCTATAAAATATACAGTTTTGATAAGACATTTCAATAAACAAAATTCACTATTTTTAATATTCGTGCTATAAAAAAAAATAAACTTTGGAATTGTTTGAGAGGGTGAAAAAGTTTCAAAAGCTAGTAACAGCTTTCAGTAGCTTATAGCCTTACAAAAGCTTTTTAACTTTTTCAAGCTTAATTAATTGGATTAGGCGACGGGAGAGTGCGCTGGTAAACTATTGCTTGGTGGAGCAATAACTTAGTTTTCTAACTAATATTTACATCTGATGGATATGGCGATATTCGACTGTTATTTGGTTGGCTGGTGGTCGCAACTTTGTCGTGAGTATTTTCGAAGCCACAGAAAATACTTCATCAGCGTTTGCTTTATACGAAATTATTTTTTAAAATCCTATACCATAGATTCACAACCTTTATGAGGCAAACTCAAAGCTCACACTACAATTTGAGAAATCAAAATTTATCGACGTAAGCGCTCTATCAATATAATTTGAGATTAATTGATTTCTTAAGCCAATATAATATATATAGCTGTACTACGATTGCAATTCAATTTCGATAACAGTCATAACATTGTCATAGCAATCTGTTATTATAGGAAAAAATGATGGTAATTGTAATCTAAACAAGAAAAATGTTAACTTCGCTTGCACCGAAATTAGAATACCCTTTACAGTTCAAAAAGTTTCCATTGGTAGCTTGGTGTTTCAGCTATATGCTGAAATAATTTGTTTGGAGATTGTACCGGTGCCTTGGTATCCACGCCAAATTTCGTTAAGATATCTCGTCAAATAAAAAAGTTTTCCATACAAGGACTGGATTTTGATCGATTTGCTTCTTGTGGAAAAAGGACGTGGGAAAAATTTCAGATCGTTAACTGATAAATTACACCCTAATGCTACCCATTACTGATAACAGGCAACCTAGTTGCCAGTAGCCATTTTAGGTAGGCATTTATTCCTTGTTATACTACTATAGTATTGTCAAATTTATGTAACTAGCTTTGAGCAGTGTTCTGCGATTTTTGCAGTACGAATATCTTGAATATCTTTCCAGAAAATATGTAAACTTTTTTGTTTGCGAAGGCTCCTAATTGTATAACATAATTTACACTATACGACAAAAAAAGTTTTACTCTGGATATTGGACCAAACCTATTTTTTCGAGAGATTGAGTCACAAGTAAAAAAGTAACTTCTTCATTTTTAGAGTCAGGTTTAGAAATCGGTATAGTTCTTTGTTCTCTGTAACGCCAGATGGTGGTCACCTGTGACTAAGCCAACAACCGTCCGGCAGTATTTTCGAGACCTTATGAGTAGAAAGCTTGCGTGCTTTCCTTCCGCTCCCTTGCACATGATCTTGGCGATGCCCCTAAGGCACTCCATCTCACCCTGATCCGTCAGGCATCTCTTTCGGAAATTTCATTGTGTACCGTTTTTAACGACTTGCGTATTTCCTGAGTTGGTTCGGCAGTCAATGCAATGGCATTCTTGCGTTGTAAGAATATAGCTTTACTTGCCGCTTGGCTATAAACTTATATATTGATATTCTTTACGTATTTCCATTGTTAGTTATCTCAGTACCTTTCCTGACCGCAAAGACTTCTGCCTGAGATATATTGCAGTATTCCGGCATCTTGAAGACTCGCCTATCTCTTATCAATAAATCTCGGCGCCCATTTCAGCAGTCATTTTAGAACCGTCCGTGCAGATGCTGAAAGATTCGCTTTGGGTCGTGTTCTCCTGCCCCATCCACTCTCTTTTAGCGTAACTTGAAACCTTCTCTCCCAGATAAACCGTGAGGGTATGTGGTCTTTTTTATCCACTCACCCCTGCCTATCTAGCTATGTCCGAAGGCAGCTGATGCTGATCGCTGCTGAGCTTTCCACTGCAATGTTAATTGGTGGCAGGTTGAGTACCTTTCTAGTGCAGACGTTGGAGTCGTTCTTAGTGCTTCCGTTATGTAGAGAGCAGGTTGCCGCTGTATTTGCTCCAACGGTTGCTTGTATGTGATTTTACTGCCAGTGGCCCACCACACTAAGGCACCGTAAACTAAGATTGACTTGACTACTTGGTATGATCCTTAGTAGTTAACTCCTCCTCGTTGACCCTCGGGGGTTTCTATGGCGGTATTTCGTACCTCCTTGTAAAGAGTATCGTAACCGTCTTGCATTAATGTTCTTGCAGCTCAGTTCATTTTTTATACATTCTATGATGGCGGGCTCTATCCCAATTGCTTCCGGTAATGTCAAGAAAGACGCCTACAGCATATTCGTTATGGGGCTCTCTCTATATTTAATACCATGTTCCGACCAAAAATTTCAAGATATTAGATTCAAATCCCCTCGGTGATGAGATTACGAAATATTATTTTTGTATGGCGAAATCTTGATAATTTTAGTACTTACTGAGTTAATCTACTTAACAGTCTTAATCTCGTGATTAAGTGTCGGACGGAACATGGTATAAGGTAAACGAGTAAAGTGCAGTCTCAGTGCATATACCCTTTTTATAGGTGTGCTGAGCCTTCGGCAGGTTAACTGATGGAGTCTTGTCCCTAATGTAGGCATGTAGAATCTTTTCGAGTGTCTTCAGAAAGAATGAGGTTAGACTTGTTGGACTTCTTTACCCGCCTTTGGTATGAATATGACCCTCGCCTCTTTCCAAGGCCTTAAACATTCTTCATATTTTTAAAATAATATTTATTTCTTTTAATAATTTTTTGGTTGTAAAATATTTATCGGGTGGCCTTCATAAATACTATACCATAAGTAATAAGTTTACTAGCCGAAACCAGCAGCTTCTTCCATTTCTCCGACTAGCTCTTTGGGAGTTAAGAAACGTTTTTTAACACCTTAATTAACTAATACATGCCCAAATTCCAGAATGAAAACAACATTATTACTTTTGGATTGTACAAAATATTTGCAACTTTTATTTTATTTATTTTTTATACTAAATGTTTTATGCTTAACAAAACATTACATGCAAATTACATTGTAAAGTGAACAACAGCAAAAATAATTATTTTTCTGAAAACATTACAGTTGGGCGAACAGTCGATCAACAACACTCCATTTGATTTCGACATTTTCGACGTAGTTGGTCATTAGAGGCCACCATTTTGTATGGCATTATCTTCGTACGCCTCGTGCTCGTCTTGTTCGTCGTCAAATTCAACATCATCCTCGACGCTGGCCTCCTATGGAGTGAAATGAAATGGAAAGAAAAGCAAAAAATGAACGACGATTCGACCACATTCCAATATGATCCAATCTACTCCAAACTGCTATAACTACCAAAGTATTATGAACAACAACCCAAGCAAGTAGTGGTAGCAGGAATCAGCAACGATTTTTAATTAAAAGCAATCGATTCCAGTTGCCGCTTATGCCACGCTGTTCATACAACACATACATACAAACAAATGAGCGCTTTCGCAAACATAAACAACATGCAAGAGTAACTAACATGCTTATCCATTTCCATTTCCACTAACCACAATCATCCTCATGCATTCAGCAACACACATAATCAACAACGAATACTCGAGCGGTCAGTCAGTCGCTGGCAAATGCACAAATTTCTTACCTGATACTGTTGATATTCGGAAATCAAATCGTTCATATTCGATTCGGCTTCGGTGAATTCCATTTCGTCCATGCCCTCGCCGGTGTACCAATGCAGGAACGCCTTACGCCGGAACATGGCCGTAAATTGCTCGGATATACGCTTGAAGATCTCCTGTATGGCAGTGGTGTTGCCAATGAATGTGGCGGACATTTTGAGACCACGCGGTGGTATATCGCAAACAGCTACCTTAACATTATTTGGTATCCATTCGACGAAGTAGCTGCTGTTCTTGCTTTGTATGTTGTACATTTGCATGTCGACCTCCTTCATCGACATTGGGCCTGCGAAATGAAATGAACGCAATTTGAAGAGTTGGTAGTGGTAAGTAATTAAGAATTTTGTAAATAATCTATTCAATCGAAAATGCTTTAGGGGAACTTATAGTTACTCGGAAAATTGAAAATCGCATTAAGCAGCTGTTGATTCAGCTTAATAGCGAAGTTGAGGTGGAAGAAACTTACATAGATATTATAATATATATGACTGGGAAGGAAAGATATATTCGGGGAACATTGTATTGAAGAAGGTCTGCAAAATGTTTGCTTGTAAGCCATTAGGTGCACACAGTAATATTTTGGGTTAAATGGGGGGAATAATGTGGCTGTATTTGGGGAATCCATGAGATGAGTGTGCTCGTTTGCATTAGGTTGGGCGCGTTATTGTTTTTGTAATGCATAATATTTTTATAAATGGCTTCCAAGATAAAATATGATTTCGGAACACTCCTAATAACGTAGACCCAACTTTCTCCTATTCTTATGACAGTTGAGTTTTCATTAGCTGTTAGGTCAGTTATGATAGGTAATAAGGCTGACAATCGAATAGTCACGAATGATCGCTCTTGGTTGTGAACCCAGAACTATTAAGTATGGATCAAAATGAGTGACGCATACTACCAAAGCGTTTTCGTTATGGTGCCTTAAATCAAGTAGAGCCAATTCGCCAGGTACCCAAAATATGGCCATCGACATGCTTCACCCTTGGTCCAGCTCGAAAGCTGGAAAGTGAAGAAGAAAGTATCTAAATGCTTCCACGTCCTCTTTTCCCATTAGCTTTGAGAATTGGCGTCCTACAAAGTCTTTAGCATAGAAGGATTTCGCTGAACTTAAACGAAGTCCACAGATCCAGTGCAAGAACATACAGGCCGGTACCCATCAGCTTTACAGTTTCCAACGATTCCGCTGTGACGCGGTACACAGGCCGCTTCATAACTGAATTAGCGTCGGGTTTTTTCCGACCAAATTTTTAACTCCAAAGCTCCTAAAAAATATTTGAAAAGTTTTTTTTATAGTTTTAGTCATATTTTGAAGCAAAGTGAAGTTTTACGACTTATTTGTATATAATAATGACTTGAGAAGATCTGTGTGCTTTAGTCATGTTTCTCTTTTCCTCTTACCTACTTTCTATAGTATTATCAAGATAAACTAATTAGGTCTAAGGTAGGCATGCTCAGGCTGTAGCTCACTTGGTTCACTGTGGCTTCCAACAACATCACTTACAACAATCACAGCATTGTTGGAAAAACAATAAGCAAAATGATCACAGCAAGCAAGTTGACTCGCACCTGCACCATCTGGCTTGCGGTCTTTTACTCGGAACTGCCGGGATAATCGTCATTCATTCACTGCTATCTGACATTGGCTGGCATTTAGTTAGGCGTAGTAAACTTTGCTTTGTTGTTAGTTCATTAGAAATATAGTTTTATAGAAATATATTTATAATATATGGGTCGAAATATATCTTTTCGTTCCCAGAACTCGTCATTTTAAACTTTATTGGTTTTGTTGTCGTGTGGCTCCGGAGTTAATTTTTGATGTTTCTAGTGTCTAAGGAATAGATCCTGAACAGTGTTACAATTCTAGCCTAGCTTTGAATAAAATTATATTGTGACTGTTGTCCATTAACAGAAGGTTTCCATTCTATCAGCATACCGCTTATTTACTTTTAGCTAACGCATAGGCAAACTGAGGGCGGGCGGACAGAAAGACGTGGCTAGAAGGAGTTGGGCTGAAAGGTTTTGTAAGTTATTCTCGATGAGTTCAACCCACTCGTATATTTATAACAAGCTTCAAACCAAAGGGGTATCTATCCCAATGGTAAAGTTTTAATAACCTTAGAATATTATTCTAAGATTTAGTATTTGTCTCGAGGTAAAAAAAGAAGTCTTAAATAGTAATATGGAAAACTTCTTTGTTAATTTCCTTCTGTAAACTTAGCAATCTGCTATTATTTACTATTTCAAACCCTAGAAATTGATTAAGCTATGGAAAATTTTAAATATGTTTCATAAAATAAGAAGAAATAAAATTCTCGGATCTATGAATCCCAGTAGAGAGTATAATTCTAAAATTTATTGAAGTGCTGAGTAGAGGGTACAATAGACCATTGGTGACAGTAAACCTTAACTTCTATGTCTATTTTAAAGGCCTTGAGCAAGTGTATACAAGTATTTGGATCTAAACTGACTTTGTTAAAAAAAAGGAATGAACATTTTTTAAAAACTAAATGTTTGTTAAAGACCGTACACATACTTTTCGTGCTGGCTTTATGTATTTTGCTCCTACAGAAAGCTTTTAATAACATATACTTATATGTGTGTACATGTGTCGGGAATGAATAAGGCTTAAATTTGGGATATAAAAACCAGTCAAATGTCAGAGCAAAGGCAGCGCAGAAAATCTACAAAAAAAAAAGAGTATATATATATAATATAAAGGTATCTCTAATTCCCCAAATATGAAATGTTAAACTGTCGCTAATGTGAGCTTTTATGCTGCCATTTCCGTAGCGCTACTCCGAAGAAGCAAAATAAAAAAAGATAAAAATTTTCCAACCAACAAACTGCCGCTTCATTGCATTTATTTGTGTATTTTCTACGCCGGCTTCTGTGTAATTCCTTCGGGATCGCGTTTAATGTCTTGCACAGCGTGCGATTTGTCTACGGTTAACTTGACTGACTCGGCAACCTGCTCACCTTTGGAAACCTAACCCCTTCCGTCCACTCTCCTCTCTTTTTGAGTTGCCTGCCAACATCCTTAGCTCGGCTCATCTAGGCTAAGCTCTAGTCACTTGGTGTTTACTTTTGTAAAATTTTACTAGCGCGTGGAAAAAGAAAATGTCGCTTTGCGTGGCGCAAATCTCCGAAGCCAACTGAAATGCTTGTTTGTTGCTATTTCATTTTTATTTTCCACACATATTTTGATTAATTATTTTGCTGCGTCTTAACCAGATGCGCTGCAACTTTATAGTCATGTTGTGTTTATGGTCACATACATATTAAATACCGGTGCTGTGTGTTAGCTTACGAATCGTAGCAATTGAATTCCCCATGAGTTTTTGAATAATACAAATTCCATTAATGTATAGTCTCTTTGCATACTTTTTCTTTGATTATTCTCTTTGCTGTGTGTTTTGACAATAATTTACTTCGGCGAAGTTTGCTTTAGCTACTCTCAGTGGGTTAGCTCCATACAGGGTTGCTTTTTTAATGGTTGACTGTTTGAATATTTCACAACGGTCGTAAACAGTTAAATACTTCCTTATATAATTATAGAAATCTGAAATTTATGCGATTTTTCATGGGTTCAAAAGCAATGCTAAACTTTATTCAAAAACAATTCTTGGGAGCTTAATGTATTAGTTATGGAAAAGAATTTTAATCGGTATTTTTATGGGTTCAAAATCTTGATTCGATTTTTGGTTATGTTCAGCGCACTCGCCTAATTTACAACTGCTAAAAATCGAACTTGGTGGATTCTTCGAGTTTTCTTTTATCGGTTAGCAGTAGAAGCATCGGTCCAGCTGGTGTATACATAGGTTGCCTCTATAAAGGGATCGCAGTGGGATACGTGGTTTTGGTGGTTATATTTCTACATAAATTTGGAGCCTAACTGACCTCTTTGACAATTAAATGTTTTTGTTGTTGCAGCTGTCATTTCAGCTTAAGGGTCTATCAACAAGAATGACGTGATGTTAAAATGAAATAGAATTCTCAAATTTGGTAAAAATGGGTTCTATTTTGTTTTGTTATGAAGATAATTTTATGCCATTTATGATTTGACTGCCACGGCTCTGTTTACGCCACTTGACTGGGACTTTCTTGAAATTTGGAATTAGAGATCGTCTGAGTCGATTTCATCAAATTGCGTTTCCTGAACCACACGAGGATTTGACTCGTCTCAATAGCGACAATTTTGTTTGACAAAATTATTAGGCCAGAAATTGGCCTCATCTGAGAAGATGATTTTTCGGTTTTCCCGGAGAATTGAATTTGAGTAATAATCTTGAACATGATGAAATGGAAAATCTTACTGAACACACAAACAAAATTTGACACAAATCCATAATCAAACATGGTCGCCACGAGCTGTCAAAAGGACGTCATTGCTATTGGTAGCCGTTGTACTTTTTAGGGGACATAACTGTGTATTTCCTTACAGTACTATCCATTACAAATATCAGTGCGAAACAAGCTTATCGGTGACTGTTATACCTTAGATTAGATCGATCACATGTCCTAAAAGGCCCTAAGATTAAGTTCAGCCATATTTCCCCCTAAAGATCTAAATTCAAGTTCAGTAAAAGGGCAGTTTCGATATGTTCGAACTACGGAGATTAGGGTATCAATAGTATTAAATGTCTTTATAAAGTTTTGCATGCTCTCTGCCGGCTATGTGTCCGTACGTTTACAATCTGTCTTAAGTTACAAACAAATTAATTTTGTTTGCTAATTGAAGCGCTGAAGGCGAAAGCAGAGGCATTTCATAAGAGCGTAAACAAAACTAAATATGGGTTAAAAAAACCGATCCCGTCGAAAACCTAATCACCTAACACTTCTCGCTCTAAGATCCGATCTTGTCAAAACAGGCTGATTCCCGAACCATCTGCCCAAAACGTCGATAAAAACACGAACCCATTATAGGTATGTTGGCTTTGCAATATTGCTCAGCTGGCGATGAACGCAAAATATGCACTTTGATCCGTAACATTAACTTCTCGCCGAAATTCCTTGCGGCTGCTTTTCCCCTAAAACATACAATTTTGTCACATTAATCCGTCGGTTAGCTTAATACGGAGAAAAACAGTAACAACAAAGAAGGATTACAAAATGCTAGCACACGCACGTGCAACACCTTTTTAACGGCACATTATTAATTATTTCATTTCCACTTTTACTTAATTTTTTTATTTTCGGAATTAGTCTTTCGATCCGGTGGAATGAGAGGCATATGCTTGTTAGCACGGTAGTTTGGCACAAGTCGCACTCTTAAAAACAATAATAAAAAAAATTCAAACAACGTGCGTGCCGGGCTGGGTGACTGAGGAGCCGCAAGTTTGCTAAAAATTTTCAAATTCATTAATCATTTTTAGTGGCGCCTAAAAGTAGGCTTTGCCTTTTTGGCTGCTTTGTTGGGCTGTCAACGGCGAAACGTGACTGTGGGAGCAACAGAAAGTGACTATTATTTATACTTTCCTTACTATAGAGTGGTATGTGTGTCTTTGTTGTGCACTCAAAGAAGACTAAGTGCTAAATGGAATGACAAAGTGGCGAAGTTTCTGTTTGCCTTATTATTATTACATTGCCTACTTTTCGGCTGCCAGACGGGAGTTATGGAAAAAACCGAAAAAAATAACAAAAACGCTAAATAAATAAACGAGGTGTTTATGTGTTGTTGTTAAAAACTATTTTTCTAAACGAAATTCCTTTTTTCTTTTCAAGTTTGTATTATCTATTGTGGCGAACCACATTCTGAGTGGCACATGTTGACAACCACAACAAAGTGTGGCGTCGAGTTGAAAAGTCATAGGCCTGAGAGCGCGAAGGGGTAAGTAATGCAACAAAAAAAGAAAATGAATAGACGAGTATTTTTTATTTTTCTTTTGTTTGCTTAAGTGTTCAAAGGGATAACCAAGACTAACCGCACTATAGACGCCAATTTTTGTTTTACTAACCAATGGTCAATTGGATGGTGAAAAACAATGTTGGGGTTAGACAACAAATGTCCGCCACAAATCAGCCGTATAAAAAGAATGAAAGTTGAAATATAACGAAAATGGTTCACGGACCCTTGACAAATCGCCAGCTAATAACGCTAATCAGCTGTGCAGGCACGAACAACAAGTTCTGCGCAACAAGCGTTTTGGCAGATAGTATAGAGCATTTTTCATCCAATACAAGAGGAATATGCTCCAAAAAAAGGGTGTTCACGAATTAGTAGGTTGGTACTCCTACTAATTCGTGAAGATTTTAATCAGCAAAAGCGAGCAGTGACCCGCAGCTAGTAAATGTAAGCTGAGTGCTAAGCTGTCCACGAACCAAAGGAGTATTATACAAATATTCGATGTCATGACATGAGCGTTTGCCAGACGCATAACGTTAATTAATCATTCGCAATGAATTGCATAAATACGCGTGGCATTAAGGCGTCGCTTTAGCGACTGACACGTGGATAAGCCATTGTCAGTGTAAAGGATTTGCATGGCTCATCAAGCAATGGAAAGCAAAGGTATTAAATAAATGTTGAAGGAAATGCAGACATTTATATGTATGAGTCTGTGGGCTTTCCTAATAAATTAATCAGGGTACAACCTGTGCAGTTGAATTAAATGAGAAATTTTGTTGACGCTTCAATTGTCACGCTGCTAAAACGTAAACTATAGGTAATGTACAATATAAGAAAGGGTTAAGTGTGCACGGAATCTATGCTAAAAATTTCGCATTCTCTGCGGATACATCTCGTATGGAGGTTTGGATCACAGCTAAAACAGCTTAAAAAGTGAGAGAGGGTGAGCTTAGATGTAACTACTCCAAAACATTAAACATGACCACAGAAGTTGAAGGTTTGGTCTTGGAACAAGCAATCAAGACCACATGGTATGGATATACACGTTTTTAAGCTAGCATAATCAAGTTAGGCCTAAAGCGGTCACAGTAATGGTTAAAATCAATGTAACCATATTGCTTCCTCAAGAGTCATATTTCCTAAGAATCTTCCTGATCGGATATTAAATTACCGGGCTGACCTTGATCAGCGAACGTCATGAAAATATCCTGAATTTGCCTTCGAATGAAAAATTTGTTTTGTCTATTTTTTATTATTTTTTCTTTTGTGAGACTATGCTGAGTTCTGATATTTTCATCATTACATATTCTGGCTGCATTAGGCTGTTATAAGTTTCAGGAAAGCTGGGTATATGAAGGTTATCGATAGCTTTGTGATAACTTGGACCACTGCATCGCGGAATATTGGCCGAGTGGTTCCTTCTGTGATATATGCGCGGGAAGAAGTCGCAGTAGAAGAGGTGCCGTGAACTTTTCACGGATGAATCGAATATAAGGGGAAAGGAGGAGGCTTCAGACTACCAAAGCACTTAAGTGCCTTTAAAGCTGACGTAAACGTATGCGACTGCGAGGACCTTCCTAACCAAATTGGAACGCATAGGTCCTGTGAGCTACTTGCCTTAACAAGGTTCATCTCACCGCCGTTGTAAGCGTTCTGAAAGGACACTGTCCAATACGCTCGCATGCGGTGAGGCTGCATATCTTGTCGGATACAAATTGCCAAAGCTCTGTGGAAAAAGGAGTTGGAATCATTTAGTCACTATCTTTTCAACTGTCCACTTTTTGCTAGACTCTGGTTAAAACATCTCATCCTACATTATTATAACGGATAATTTCAATATATGGTAGAAGCCACTTACAGTTATTGGGAATTACTAAATTTTAACGAATATAGTAAAGTATATGCTAGTGCTTTCCACTTGCAACATTACGTAAGCCCAACTTTTGCTATGCTGTTACAGACAACTGATAATTTACCTTTTGATAACATTGCGCTTGGTTAAAAAAGGTTAGGTAAATACTTAAAAAGTAAGTAAAGATATATCTCTTTTGCACATCACTTACCTCTAAAGATGCACGCCACTGTTAGATAGCGTCCGTGACGGGGATCGCACGCTGTCATCATATTCTTGGCATCGAACATTTGCTGAGTCAGTTCGGATACAGTCAAAGCGCGGTACTGTTGCGAACCCTTGGCGGTGAGTGGCGCAAAGCCGGGCATGAAGAAGTGCAAACGCGGAAACGGCACCATGTTCACGGCCAGTTTGCGCAGATCGGCATTTAGTTGGCCGGGGAAACGGAGGCAGGTTGTCACGCCGGACATTGTGACCTATTTGTGATATTGTTTTTCGACATTTGACGAGGGAGTAGAAAAGGAATAAACGTGAATTTTAATCAGATAGTGGTGTTGGGTTATGTGGTGACTTGCAGGCGTCATTAGGCAGGTGTTAAGTACACGAAAAGGCGGCGGAGATATTAATGAAACGCAGCATTTGGGTATAAAGTTTTTTTAAGATGAATAAGGTGAAGATATTTGGGTGATTGTTATTTCGAAAGAACTGATAATATATTTAAAGCTTCAAAGTGAATTTTCGGCCTTTTTGACATTTTTTAACTAAAATGCCACCACTTTAATTTTATTTTTAATTTAATGCTTCCTGGTACTTTTCTGAGGTTAACTGAAAATGCTTGTGGAATGGGTTTCCGGAAGCTTCAAACATTTTCTATTTAACTGATAATAGAGAGAACCTAGGGTGATCAAACATGTCTACGAACGTTGAATAACCTTACTTAATCAACTAAAAAGGCGTCCATTTTATTTTTAGAAATCTTCGCCATGTGTGTGGCAAAACGAAAATTTTTGAGGTTAATCGTTTGATCAGTCCACAATTTAGGTTTTTGGCTTAAAGTACACTTCAGAGTCCTCAAAACAGTATCATATTTAATTGTTAAAAAATTTAAAAAAAACGTCTGGTCAAAAAGTTTCAATAAGTAAAACCTTAAACACGTTTTCCTGGAAACCGCCTTTTTTTTTTAAATCGGATGATGACTCGAAGACAATGGCATGTTCATCCTGTAGCTTTACAGAAAGAAAATTGTATTTTTATTAAAATCACCGTTATTAAAGTTAGCAGCCATTTTGCATCCAATTGTCAATATACACTCGAATATACTTGTATGTTTAATAAAAACCGAAAGAGAGAAATTTGATTCCCCTTTACTTACCCTCTGATTTCTGAATTTTCAAAATTATATGAAACAACGTTCGTAAGAAGAGCAAGCATATATTTTGTCGGCTTTTACATTTGATGAGTAGGAAATATGTATATACCCCTAAACGCTCTGTATATTCTATGGTAAAAATAATATTAGCTTCATAATAAATCATTTATAAATGTTTTTATATGGCCAATAAGCTACAAAGTTCCTATGCCTGAGTGCTTCAAATATGCTTTATTGCATGCTAAGCAGGAGTTAATAAAAATCAATACCTTTGGGAAATCGCTATGCGCGCTCTTCACAAAGTCCTTGAAATATAAGCAAATTGAAAATTATGTTACGTATACGCCATGGCAGTGCACAAAGCACAAATGTAATATTCTGCAATTTCCAAAAAACTGTCAACAAATGTCAAAATATGACAGCCTTTTGCACCAGAAACCAATTAGAAATTTGTTCAGAAAAACAAAACAGGTTGACATAAAAACGTGCGCGAATGCAAATAAATTAATTGTACATACATATGTGTGTGTGTGTGCATGAGAATTGACTAAAGAGCACTCAAAATTTGAATAAATTTTCGGAAAAAAATGCTTTTTGCATGCATTATTAAAACGTTGGACGTGGCTCGCAAATTTTAATTGCTACAATTTCAGTGTTGCCACTAAAGAGCACACGGAAAAAATAAATTAGAATTAGTGACAGAAGAATTAGCTTTTGTGCAATATGCGCATAATTAAAAATGTTGAAACAAATTTATTATGAAGTAATAATATTTGAAAAAAAAAACCTTTGAAAAAAGGCTTAAAAAAATATATATTGAAATGTAAATATTTTGAAAAAAAAATTTTGAAAAAAAATTTAAAACTAATCAAAAAATGAGTTTTACTAAAAAATGTGTTCGAAAAAAATTTTGAAAAAAGAAAATATTTATTAAAAAGGATATATTTAAAAAAATTAAAAATTTTTTTTTTAATATTTTCAAACAAATTTTGAAAAAAATTTGACGAACCTTTTTTGAAATAAAAACATTCGTCACTTAAATGGCATAAGCGTTTATTCATCGTTGTTTATCCATATGCAAATATGTAAATATGCTTTTTGCGGCAGCAGTTGTTGCAATTAATTTTGTGCTTTACAAGCGTTTTCTTGTTTTGCTTTGCTTTGCCAGGCATTTGCACGACCACAAACAATTCTCAATTTTACTTACGGACACCAGATGATTCAAATCCTCATAGGTGGGGCACAGCATACGCAACTTGTGATAACAAATGTCATACAATGCCTCATTATCGATGCAAAATGTTTCATCGGTGTTCTCGCACAGCTGATGTGCCGACAGTGTGGCATTGTAGGGCTCAACAATTACCTCGGATACCTGTGCCACACCGTAGCGGGGCAGAGAGGAAGGGGTGCGGTCACAAGCAAAGGCGAAAATACACCACACATGTATGTATACACAAACATAAGCAAATATAAATGTACATATGTGTGTGTGTATGTGTAATGGACGACAAACGCAACGTAATGCGGTACGCATTGGTAAATGCCATGCAATCGGCATTACCGTTCAGCCATGCAACCGGGTCATCAATTGTGAACGTTGTTATTGTTGTTGATGGTTGTTGGTTCGTTGGTTGGTCGGTTGGTTTCAACGTGCACAGGAAATGTATATGTGACGTGGCGGGGTGTGGGGTAGCGTTAAGGCGAGATAGATAGAGAGAGAAAGAGCGTGCGAGAAAGGGCGAGAGGAAAGAAGAGAAAACCCATTAGTATTGCTTGGTATATTGGTCAACTTACGGATACAAGATGATTCAAATCGCCATAGGTGGGCGATGTCAGCTTCAGTGTGCGGAAGCAGATGTCGTATAAAGCCTCGTTGTCGATGCAGAATGTCTCATCGGTATTCTCGACAAGTTGATGTATGGACAATGTGGCATTGTACGGCTCCACGACGGTATCGGAAACCTGAAAAGCGTCAATGAATCAGCGCAATGTTGCAAGCACACAAATGGACGAGCAGCCAGGCGGGCAAGTAGGCAAGCAAGCAGGGAAGCGAATAGGCAGTTAGTCAGTCGGTTCCGCGAGTAGTATTCCCGATTTGGTTGGAAGTGCCACAGATGGTCGGGCAATGGATGGCGTATTGTTGGAGTTTGTTGATTTGTTGTCGTACATACATATATAATGCGCAATTTTTTTTTGGTTGTTATGTGCGGTCAGTGGTATTAGCAGCAGAAGCAGCAAATGTGGCAGCGGCAGTTGCACGTTGCACGGCCGTCCAATCAACAGGCGTTGAAGCATTATGTGGTGCAACAGGCCGCAGGCGTAAACGGGTGTTGAAATTAAGCGTGTGTCAGCATACAGCGCCGTTGTGGCGTAGCATTGTGGCATAGAAGAAAATTAAAAATAATTGTGGGAAAGCTAAAATTAGTTAAATATAAATAGTAAGAATTTGAATAGTCATAATTAATATTTTTAAATGCCTTAGCTTTAATATAAAAATTATACTTAAATAGTAATATATTCATTAAAGTGGCACGAAATCTCTTCAAAGTCTATATAAACAAAAAAAATGTTAATTTCTGTTGCACCGTATACCCTTCACAAATACAAAAGATTCCTTACAAGAACTTTGATCGGTCAGTATGTATTTCTCCGGAGAATGCATCATTGCCTTAGATAATAACTTATGTCAAATTTCGTGAAGATACATATGTATCTCGTGAAAAACAGAAGCATTTAATACAAGCACTGGATTCGAATTGTTCAGTTTGTATGGCAGCTATATGCTATAGTGATCCGATATCGGCAGTTTTGTAAAGTGCAAATTTGGATAAGGGCAGGATTTTTCAACTACTAACTGACTTCCGGGTCTCACCTCAAAAGAAGAAAATAATGACGTGTTCAGGTGTATGAGGTGAGATATTAGAGAACGTTATCGAGGGTAGAAAGAAAGAGACCGAAATACGAGTTCTAGAGTTTGTTATGCAGATAGGTAAGGGTGATTTCTGAAAATTTTACCAAAAACTCGGTTAACTCCCAGTAGTTTTCAATATCGAGAGAAACATTTGAAAGAATAATACAGAATATCTGATAGCTGATGTTTTGAGCATATTTATGTTATATAGCGAATAGTTCTTCAATCTGAACATGCATCGTGTAGCATGGACTGAACAGAATGAAATAGTAATAATAATATTAATTTAAGAATTCTTAAGAATGTCTTCCACAACTTGAACTAAAAAATTTAAATACTATGTTGTAATGACACAACGAACATTCTTTTAATTTAAAAAATATGTTTTGTAACCAATTACGATTCAATTTGTATGGGGTTTTTAAGTCTAAAAGTTCTCTCGTATCTTGCACCAAATAATATTCTCTTATTCTAAAACTCTCTTTTAACTGACTCCCTTATTGAAGCAATCATTTGATAACTCAATAGATATATAATAAATTATATTTCATTACCTACATACTTGTGTGCATTTGCCTTAACTCACACATTTAAGAACAAAACAAAAAGTAATAATTTTCAACTACAAGTAGACATTTGTGTTGTTCATAATATGTTGAACTTCAAATACTTGAGTGCAGCAGAGAACTGACATGACAAGTATTTGATTTAATTGAGGCGGAACAATGTCTATAACATTGTTGTTGTGTAACAACTAATACAATTACTGCATTGATAGAAACAAAGCAAGTACACCATTATTCATACACACATACATATGCATATATATCCATTTGGCACACAAAAACGAGAACAAACAATAAATTTCCAAGCATTTAGTTTCTGTTAATGAATGCCTTTCATCAAATTGGCCAATGGATATTTGGTTAGTAATGGGAAAACATTAGTAATTTGTTTGTTATAGATCTAACTAAATTTCGCAAGAATATTATTACATACATATGTATATCTACTCATATTTACATATGTAAGAGTATGTCAAGCAGAGCAACCCCTTTAGGAAATTGAATACAGTAAGCTATAGATTCTGTATTTCCAATATAGGGCCAGGTAGTAATAAATCCATTTTTTTCGGTATTTTGCGTTGTCTAAGTGCGATCGGGTTACATTAGAAACTTTTTATACAGTTATTTAATTGTTTGATTCAGTATTATTTGAGCACTAGCTTAAGGATAGACACAAACAATGAGAAAATACTCTATTGTTTGAAATCGCACGCCACGGCTGAAAACGTAAATAGTGTTAATGGTCCTGATACTATAACATTTGTCGATTTCGTTCCGGTAATTAGGATGCGAAGGTGCAACTCTCTGGAAGACCAATTGTCGAAAATATCCGTAAAGTAATGTAGTCCGACGATTATAAGCATTGTTACGTTTTCCTAAGAGCTAAACATGGATGTAATTGTATTCCATCTGACAATGCCATGCCACATAGGCAGCATAATGACTTGGGAGGTTCCTGTTTCTGTTCGTAGGGAATAATTTTGCTGGTGAAAAATTCACCTCAAGAGAAGCTCGGTAAAATCGACTGTCTTAGCTGTTTGCAAATATATGGTTGGCCGTTATTTCCCTTCCGCATTTTTGTCTTTTGAATTTTGCGGCTATGTACAAAGCGCTACAGAGCTCGTATCTGGCAACACTATACATAAATTGAAAGGATTAGTTTGGATATTGCGTTCAACAGTTATAGACGTGTAAACATGGAGTTCACTAACGCCGAAATTCGCGCTATTTTAAAGTTTTCCTTCGTTAAAGGCAAATCCGCTAGAGAAACGTTCCGTAAGATTAATGGTGTTTTGGGGGATGGCACTCTATCACTTCGAACCGCGGAGGAATGGTTTCGACGATTCAGAGCCGGTGAAAACGACACCATGGATAAGCCAGCCGGCGGAAGCCCTGTGACGACAAATACCGGTCAAATCATGGAATACATCGAGTTAGACCGGCATATGGCATCTCGTGACATCGCCCAAGAGATGGGAGTTAGTCACCAAACCATTTTGAACCATCTGCAGAAGGCTGGATACAAAAAAAGTTTGATGTTTGGGTGCCGCATAATTTGACGCAAAAAAACCTTCTGGACCGAATCAACGCCTGCGATATGCTGCTGAAACGGAACGAACTCGTACCATTCTTGAAGCGGATGGTGACTGGCGACGAAAAATGGATCACATACGACAATATCAAGCGAAAACGGTCGTGGTCGAAGGCCGGTTAATCGTCCCAAACAGTGGCCAAGCCGGAATTGACGGCCAGGAAGGTTTTGCTGTGTGTTTGGTGGGATTGGAAGGGAATCATCCACTATGAGCTGCTCCCATATGGCCAGACGCTTAATTCTACCATCTACTGCGAACAACTGGACCGCTTGAAGCAGGCGATCGACCAGAAGCGTCCAGAATTGGCCAACAGGAAGGGTGTAATGTTCCACCAGGACAACGCCAGACCACACACTTCGTTGATGACTCGTCAGAAGCTACGGGAGCTCGGATGGGAGGTTTTATCGCATCCACCATATAGCCCGGACCTGGCACCAAGTGATTACTATCTTTTCCTGTCCATGGCGAACGCGCTTAATGGTGAGAAGTTGGCCTCAAGAGAGGCCTGTGAAAATTGGCTCTCCAATAGGGACGCAGCCTTCTACGAGAGGGGTATAATGAAGTTGGCATCTCGTTGGCAACAAGTTTACGAACAAAACGGCGCATATTTTAACTAAATCCGATCACTGTAACACTTTTTATAAAGCATTGAATGAAGAGCAAAAAAGCGGAAGGGAAATAACGGCCAACCTATACCAGAACCTTACAGACTCAAAGTCAATGCTTAAACCTACCACTGTACTTGCGCTTTTTAAATTGTGTTTTAGAATGGAAATGGTTCAGTTTCAAAGAAATTTTGTACGAAAGAAACTATTTATTCAATTATAAATTATCAATCAGTATAAATCTGAAAGCCTTCCTTCTCAAGAAGCTGCTCTTGTGTTGAACTCTCCAGTATTGTACCACTATAGGATATATAGAGCTGCCATGCAAACTGATCGATCAAAATCAAGTTCTGTATTTTGTATGGACTCAAAGTCAGTTAAGTTTATTTGGTTTTTTATCAAAGATGTAAAAAGTAACGCATACTTTTTTTCAAAACTAGTTACAATTTATAAGCTGTGATTTTCCAAAATCAAAATTCATTCCGCTGTGATTTTGTTCATTTCCAAAAGGACATATTCCGTCATTCATTAACGCCTGAAATTACAACTGAATATAACATAAATATATGCAGCCATATAACTCCACCACAAAACTGCGGATAGTGTACAACCGGCTAGTTTATATTATATTTGGGTTGCTGGAAAATGCACAGTTGCAAGCTGATGGCGTGATTGGATGGCTCAGCAGTAGCAGCAATAAATGTAGTATTTGCTAGCAGCTGCAAATATATTCAATTGCACGTCTAGCACTGCTTGCCATAGCTTAGTGGAAAGTACAAATTAGCAGTACACGTCCACCAGGACGTATGAGCAACATTTATTGCACTCGCATGCAAATGACCTAAAGGCTGCCGAATATGAACGCAAACGCTTGCATATGTTATATTAATATTTATATAAGTGCTAGTTAGTGTACGCATGCATATTTGTGCATGGGTGTATGTTTGCAACCACCTAGTGTGTGCATATGCTCTTTGATTTATTGCTAATACTTTCCGTACCTGGACTAGCCTTGTTATGGCTCTTGTTTGGTGTCCATTTCCATTTCCAATTCCATTTTCGCTTACACCGTTATCTATTATATGTGGTGCATAAGCTAGCATACACACAACGGTTCGGCCATACACAAATCTATCATAATTTGTAAACGCTACGACACGCACGTAATTAGAAATGAATTTCATATACAATAATACTCGGTACACAATTTGACCTCCAGCGATACTCGCTGCATAAGCAAATAAACAATCATACATACAAGTATGTATGTGTGTTTGTGTGAATTTTC